CCAATCTTCCCAATTAGTATTTATAATAGTATATATTTTCCCATTCTTTTATTTTTTTAATTTTTGCACATATTTGTACCTGTTATTTAAAATTTTTTATTTACTTACTTTTTGAAATGTGGTCTTGATAGGTGGCCCAGGCTTGAGTGCAGTAGCTATTAACAGGCATGATCACAGTGCAATGCAGTCTCTAACTCCTGGTCTCAAATGATCCCCCTGCTTCAGCCTACCAACTAGCTGGGATTACAGGCACATACCACCATGCCTAGGTTGTAACTGTTATTTTTAAACTCCTTATTGCTTAGTTCTATTTCAGTCATTTCTGGGTTTATTTCTTTCCTTTCTTTCTTTTTTTTCAAGAGAGTTTCGCTTGTTGCCCAGGCCGGAGTGCAATGGCACCATTTTGGCTCACTGCAACCTCTGCCTCTTCTGGGTCTATTTCTATTGACTGGCTTTTCTTCTGGTTTTGGGTCACATTTTCCCACTGCTTTGTTAGAATTTTTGATTGAGTAACAAATACTCGCCGGGCGCGGTGGCTCAAGCCTGTAATCCCAGCACTTTGGGAGGCCGAGAAGGGCGGATCACGAGGTCAGGAGATCGAGACCATCCTGGCTAACCTGGTGAAACCCTGTCTCTACTAAAAAATACAAAAAAAAACTAGCTGGGCGAGGTGGCGGGCGCCTGTAGTCCCAGCTACTCGGGAGGCTGAGGCAGGAGAATGGCGTAAACCCAGGAGGCGGAGCTTGCAGTGAGCTGAGATCCAGCCACGGCACTCCAGCCTGGGGGACAGAGCGAGACTCCGTCTCAAAAAAAAAAAAAAAACAAAAAACAAATACTCTGTATGCCACACTGCTGGGTGTCTGGATTTTGATGTCTTCCTTTAAAGAGTGTTGAGCCATGTTTTGGCAGGCAGTTAAGTTTGTTTTGGATCAATTTCTTTTTTTTTTTTTTTTTTTTTTTTGAGATGGAGTCTTGCTCAGTCGCTCAGGCTGGAGTGCAGTGGCATGATCTCAGCTCCTGGGTTTGAGCGATTCTTCTGCCTCAGCCTCCCAAGCAGCTGGGATTACAGGCACATGCTACCACGCCTGGCCAATTTTTGTACTTTTAGTAGAGATGGGGTTTCACCATGTTGGCCAGGCTGGTCTTGAACTCCTGACCTCAGGTGATCTGCCCACCTCGGCCTCCCAAAGTGCTGAAATTACAGGCATGAGCCATTGTGCCCAGTCTGATTTTTAAAATAAAATAAAATAAATAAATAAAAATATTTAATAGAGCAGGTCTAGTTTAGCCCTACTACCAAGGTGTAATCTTTCTGGAGTCTTTATTGAATGTCCCAGGTGTTCAATGAATTTTCTCCATTTTGGGTGGGTGGAACTTCATCCAACCTTATTAAGTCCTAGAAATTATTTGGCTTATAGTTTCCCAGTAATTGTTTTTTTCCTCACTAGATCTTCTTTGCCAACCTGTGTGGGGTCTCATCCTGCGCATGCAGAGTTTACTATTCAGCCAAATCTACATATGGCATTATCTGAAAAATGCCTCAGTCACAAAGTGAGGATAATCATATGGCTCACTTCATTTGTTTCTCAGTCTTGTGCTACATGTACAACATCCTAAACTGGTCTTCTAGGCTTTGTTTAGTTTTCTAGTTGTTTAGAGCAGGGGGGCAGTTATTATCACTGTGAGAAGCAGAAGTCTACTTGGATTTTTTTTTTAAGACATAGGGTCTCACTATGTTGGCCAGGCTAGGCTCAAACTCCTGGTCTCAAGTAGTCCTCCTGCCTCAGCCTCCCAATGTGCTAGGATTACAGGTGTGAGCCACCACACCTGGCTGCTTCTTCATTATTTTTTAAGATAGGGTCTTGCTTTGTTGCCCAAGCTGGAGTGCAGTGACACATATCTCAGCTCACTACAACCTCTGGCTCCCAAGCTCCCAAGCCCAAGCAATCCTCCCACCTCAGGCTACCAAGTAGCTCGGACTACAGGCATGTACCACCATGCCTGGCTAATTTTTTGTATTTTTTGTAGAGGTGGGGTTTCGCCATGTTGCTGAGGTTGGGCTAAAGCAATTCACCCACCTTGGCCTCTCAAAGTTCTGGGATTATAGGAGTGAGCCACAGTCCCCTGCTGCTTCTTTGATTTAAAAAATTTGTGTATTTCAAGGCTAATACTGTGTTTAAAATAGTGTATTTTTAAATTCACTAAAACGTGGAAATGTGAATACTGACAACTGGTTATCTGATGATTTTAAGATATTGTTTTTAGAGCAGTGATAAAGTTAATGCACTTACAGCCAGGCGTGGTGGCTCACACCTGTAATCTCAATATTCTGGGAGGCCGAGGCGGGCAGATCACCTGAGGTCAGGAGTTCCTGACCAGCCTGGCCAATATGGTGAAAACCTGTCTCTACTAAACATACAAAAATTGGTCGGGCATGGTGGCACCCCCCTGTAATCCCAGGTACTCAGGAAGCTGGGCTGGGATCGCGCCACCGCACTCCAGCCTGGGCAACAGAGCAAGACATCATCTCAAAATAAACAAACAATAAAAGTTAATGCACTTACATGAGAGACTTTTATTGTTAAAGAGTACATACTGAAGTACAGATTAAATAATATGATGTCTAGGACTTTTCTTCAAAATAAGATAAAATGAGAGAGGATAAGTGGGTGGAGTTATTCATGAAACAAGACTGGCCGTAAACTGGTAACAGTTAAAGCTGAGTGATGGGCTCAGTACACTTTTTTGTCTACTTCTGTATATGTTTCAAATTTTCACATTTAAAAAAAGTCAGCAGAAGTAATTTCTGTGTGACTATAACTCCAACTTGGGTTCAAGGGGTTTTTTACTTTGAGCCAGAGTCTTGCGCTTTCGCCCAGGATGGAATACAGTAGTGTGATCTCAGCTCACTGCAACCTCTACCTCCTGGGTTCAAGCAATTATTGCACCTCAGCCTCCCAAGTAGCTGGGATGTGCCACCATGCCTGGATAATTTTTGCATTTTTAGTAGAGATGGGGTTTCACCGTGTTGGCCAGGCTGGCTTGAACCCCTCAAGTTATCCACCCACCTCAGCCTCCCAAGGTGCGGAGATTTTAGGCCTAAGTCACTTGCACTAGGCCGGTTCATGTGTTTTTAATTTGTAGGGATTGCTTTCATTTCTTTTTGACTTAATTTTTGTTTGAATGATGTAAAATATTTACATGGCTATTAAACGATAAAACATAATTCAGAGTTCTCCCTTTTATCCCTGTCCCTTGTGTTTTCTCACTTCCCCATATAATAACTATTTTTACTTACTTTATTTTTGATTGGCATTTCCATTCTTTTTGAAAATAAATAAATATGGATATATATGTGTGTGTATATATATATATGTATTAAGTCTTCTGGCCCTACAAAAGGTGTATTATACAAACTCCTCTGCAGTTTCCTTTTCTTCATTTAACAACATGTCCTCAAGATCACTCCAGAGTATTATATAGAGATTTTCCTCATTACTTTTATTCAACCAGTACTCTACTGATAAGACATTGGGTAGTTTCCTATCTTTTGCTATTACAAGTAATGTAGTAGCCTTCCACATATATATTATGTTTTCGCCAATGCATCTTGAGGATAAGATAGATTCTGACAAAAAATATTAATTACATGTCACTTTTCTAGATACCAAGTGGTCAAATTCTTATTTTTTTTATTTTTTTTTTTTGAGATGGAGTCTCGCTCTGTCGCCCAGGCTGGAGTGCAGTGGCCGGATCTCAGCTCACTGCAAGCTCCGCCTCCCGGGTTCCCGCCATTCTCCTGCCTCAGCCTCCCGAGTAGCTGGGACTACAGGCGCCTGCCACCTCGCCCGGCTAGTTTTTTGTATTTTTCAGTAGAGACGGGGTTTCACTGTGTTAGCCAGGATGGTCTTGATCTCCTGACCTCGTGATCCGCCTGTCTCGGCCTCCCAAAGTGCTGGGATTACAGGCTTGAGCCACCGTGCCCGGCCCAAATTCTTAATCTTTATAACATAAGTACTCAAAGGAAACAAAAATTAAAAGATAATTTATCTAAAGCAAATGTAGTTCTGTTGGTATAAAGTAATGGTGGGGGAAGAGGTTAGTATATTTCATCTCTCACAGTAAAGGTTTCCAAATCAATCTATAGGAATACTTATTAGTAGAGGCCAGGCACGGTGGCTCACGCCTGTAATCCCAACACTTTTGGAGGCCGAGGCGGGCAGATCATGAGGTCAGGAGATCGAGACCATCCTGGCTAACACAGTGAAACCTCGTCTCTACTAAAAGTACAAAAAATTAGCCGGACGTGGTGGCATGTGCCTGTAGTCCCAGCTACTTGGGAGGCTGAGGCAGGAGAATCGCTTTAACTCAGGAGGCGGAGGTTACAGTGAGCCAAGGTTGCACCACTGTAGTCCAGCCTGGGCGACAGAGCGAGACTTCATCTCAGGAAAAAAAAAAAAAAGAAATACTTATTAGTAGAGTTAATAAATAACTACCTTCTAGGTCTAATTTCTGGGACTGTAAGCCTCTTGAGGATGAAGAATTAAGCTTAATTTCCTTCAGATCATGACCAACAGAGACACAGCACGTTTAGTGAATCATTTTCATTTAATAACTGTTCTCAGGACTGATTATCATAAGCTGTTTAGTCCTCTGTTTAAGATTTTAATCTTTTCATAGAATTATGTTTACTGTGGCTTTTAATTGGTAGCTACTAGTATCTTGAAATATAAATAATCCCAGTAATATGTATTATTACTATCCCTACTGTATCTACACTGACAATTATTGAAAGTTTCACCTTAAATATCAAAGATAGAATTCCAAAACAAGTTTCTCATTCCATTTCTACTTTGATGCTGCTTTCTCTTTTAAAAATATCTTTCCTCTACGAAACCAATATAAAATTTGCTAAATATAGTTAGTGGCCTGAATTTAAAGGTAGTATCAGCCAGACATAAGGGGCTATGACTTATCCTTCTAAAACATAAAATACTTACGCGTCTGTTGTCTTTGTACACCCATTTAGATTCAGTACTTCAATGTTCCTGCAGTTTTGTGCAAAGGTTCTTTATAGGAAAGAAAGTAAGAGGTTTCAAATGAAATAAGCAAAATTCCAGTCATTAAAAAAGCAATAAAATATATTATTATTGGTAATATTGATTGTTGATACCTGTGATACTGTGATATAAAGGAAAAACATGTATTTGGTCTTCATCCTCGGTTCTTGGCATCCAGTCCCTAAAATCTTTGTAATTTCCTGAGTGATAGTATCTTTTGTTACAGGTTTGGTGAAAAGTAATCGCGGTTTTTGCCATTACTGTTAATTAACAGTAACTGCCATTATTGTTAATGGCAAAAACTGTGATTACTTTTGCACAAACCTAATATAATATTTGGTCTTCAATCATGCCTATGATCAAGGAACCTCTGTAAAAACCCCTAAATGATAGGGATCAGAGAGCTTCTGGGTTGGTGAATGTAACCACATGCCAGAAGGGTAGTATATATACCCCAATTCCACAGGGACAGAAGCTCCTGTGCCTGGGACCCTTCTAGACCCTGCCTTATACACCTTTTCATATTCCTTCTACCTCAGCCTCCCTAAATGCTGGGATTACAGGTGTGAGCCACTGAGCCTGGCCATGATTTTTTTTTTTTTGAGATAGAATCTCTCTCTGTTGCCGAGGCTGGAGTATAGTGGTGCCATCTCAGCCCACTGCAGCCTCCACCTCCCAGGTTCAAGCGATTCTTCTGCCTCAGCCTCCTGAGTAGCTGGGATGACAGGCACGCACCACCATGCCTGACTAAGTTTTTGTATTTTTAGTAGAGACAAGGTTTCACCATGTTGGTTAGGCTGGTCTTGAACTCTTCATCTCAAGTGATCCACCTACATCAGCCTCCCAAAGTGCTAAGATTACAGGCTTGGGCCATCACACCTGGTTTAAATTAATTTTCAATTATAAATTCTTCAAACATAACTTTAAAAATTATTTTAAATTAAAAAAATAAATGATTGCTTATTTATTTATTTTTAGAGACAGGGTCTTCCTCTGTCACTCAGGCTGGAGTACAGTGGCGCAATCACAGCTCACTGTAGCCTCAACCTCCCAGGCTCAAGTGATCCTCCTACCTCAGTCTCCCTAGTAGCTTGGTTTACAGGCATATGTCACCTAACCTGGCTAATTAAAAAAAGTTTTCTAAGGCCGGGCGCGGTGGCTAAAGCCTGTAATCCCAGCACTTTGGGAGGCCGAGACGGGCGGATCAGAAGGTCAGGAGATCAAGACCATCCTGGCTAACACGGTGAAACCCCGTCTCTACTAAAAATACAAAAAAACTAGCTGGGCAAGGTGGCGGGCGCCTGTAGTCCCAGCTACTCGGGAGGCTGAGGCAGGAGAATGCCGTAAACCCGGGAGGCGGAGCTTGCAGTGAGCTGAGATCCGGCCACTGCACTCCAGCCTGGGCTACAGAGGGAGACTCCGCTCTGTAGAGACTCCACCTTGCCATGCTGCCTAGATTGGTCTTATACTCCTGGCCTCAAGTGTAATCCTCCCACCTAGCCTCCCAAAGTCCTGGGGCCACTGCCCAGGTTAGGGTTAACCATAACCCTAAAAAAGAACTAGGCTGGGTGCAGTGGCTCATGCCTGTAATTTCAGCACTTTGGGAGGCTGAGGCAAGAAGACTGCTTGAGTGTAAGAGTTCGACACCAGCCTGGACAACAAAATGAGACGCTGACTCTATAAAAAAATTTTAAAACTTAGCCAGGCATGGTGGTACACGTCTTTAGTCACAGCTACTCAAGAGGGGGAGGACTGCTTGAGTCCAGCAGTTCAAGACTGCAGTGAGCCATGATTATGCCAGGGCACTCCAGTGAGCCATCATTATGCCAGGGCACTTCAGCCTGGGTGACAGTGTGAGACCTTGTCTGAAAATATAAAATAAAAATAATTAATTTAAAAAAACTTATTCAAAGCTCCAAAAGAAACACTTATGATGGAGAATGTGGGATTTTTTCAGGCAGTACTTGTTCTTGTTTATTGTTAAAACTACATTTCTTATTACTGGATATTTTCAGATTATAAGCAATGTATGTGTGGTTGCATTTTTAATAACTTAGTAATTTTAAAACGATTTTAGCCTTTTCTGGGTGAGATGGTGCTGCTCTTCACTTCCATCAAGAAGATAATCAACAGTTATGTTTTCACCTTAATGCATTGTCTCCCACTCCAAGACATCCACGAAGACTTAACTTTCGTAAAAAGCCCCCACATCGTTTTGAAATATTCTCCACTACTCGGCCCTGTAAAAACAGACAGACAAACAAAAAGATAACCCATCTCACTACTTTAGAAAAGAACACATCCTCATTTTTAACGATTTATAAACAACGAGAAAATGCTTTTATTATGACCTAATTAATTTAATAGGAAAATTGTAACTTACCCTGGGAAAGTTTTCCTGATTAAGCCACAGCTACTGAAGTACAGCAGCTACATTTATTTTTTTGTATCTTTTCCAAAATGTTTATTATAGTACTCTGCTTATAGTAGGGACTCAATGAACATTTAACAAAAACTGGCCAGTTTTGTTTTGTTTGGGCTGGGCACAGTGGCTCACACCTGTAATTCCAGCACTTTGGGAGGCCGAGGCAGGTGGATCACAAGGTCAGGAGATCAACACCATCCTGGCTAACACGGTGAAACTCCACCTCTACTAAAAATACAAAAAATTAGCTGGGCGTGGTGGTGGGCACCTGTAGTTCCAACTACTTGGGAGGCTGAGGCAGGAGAATGGCATGAACCCGGGAGATGGAGCTTGTAGTGAGCCCAGGTCTCGCTCCACTGCACTCCAGCCTGGGCGACAAAGTGAAACTCGTCTCAAAAACAACAACAACAACAAAAGCTGGCCAGGCACAGTGGATTCTGCCTATAATCCCAGCACTTTGGGAGGCTGAGGCGGGCGGATCATTTGAGGTCAGGAGTTCGATACAAGCCTGGCCAACATGGTAAAACCCAGTCTCTACTAAAAATACAAAAATTAGCCAGGCATGGTGGCTCATGCCTGTAGTCCCAGCTACTTGGGAGGCTGAGGCATGAGAATTGCTTGAATCCAGGAAGCAGAGGTTGCAGTGAGCTGAGACTGTACCACTGCACTCCAGCCTGGGTGACAAAATGAGACTCTGTCTCAAAAACAAAAACAAAAGCTTGCTGAAGAATTTTGTGGGTGGTGTTGCTTTATTTACCTCCATGAAGGTTAGAGAATTGTGAAAAACACGGCCGGGTGCGGTGGCTCAAGCCTGTAATCCCAGCACTTTGGGAAGCCGAGACGGGCGGATCACAAGGTCAGGAGATCGAGACCATCCTGGCTAACATGGTGAAACCCCGTCTCTACTAAAAAAAAAACACAAAAAACTAGCCGGGAGAGGTGGCGGGTGCCTGTAGTCCCAGCTACTCGGGAGGCTGAGGCAGGAGAATGGCGTGAACCCGGAAGGAGGAGCTTGGAGTGAGCTGAGATCCGGCCACTGCACTCTAGCCTGGGCGACAGAGCGAGACTCCGTCTCAAAAAAAAAAAAAAAAAAAAAAAAAAAAGAGAATTGCAAAAAACAAAATCCAGTGTAATGTTAGTGGGTATTCTTTTATTTTATTTTATTTTTTATTTATTTATTTTTTGAGACGGAGTCTCGCTCTGTCACCCAGGCTGGAGTGCAGTGGCCGGATCTCAGCTCACTGCAAGCTCCGCCTCCCGGGTTTACACCATTCTCCTGCCTCAGCCTCCCGAGTAGCTGGGACTACAGGCGCCTGCCACCTCGCCCGGCTAGTTTTTTGTATTTTTTAGTAGAGACGGAGTTTCACCGTGTTAGCCAGGATGGTCTCGATCTGACTTCGTGATCCGCCCATCTCGGCCTCCCAAAGTGCTGGGATTACAGGCTTGAGCCACCGTGCCCGGCCACGGGTATTATTTTAAAAGCACTTTGGTTGGTTTCAAACTCCTGACCTCAGGTGATCCGCCCACCTTGGCCTCCCAAAGTGCTGGGATTAAAGGTGTAAAGCCATCTCACGTGCCCTCAAAAAACCTTTTTTAATCCTCAAGAAGCCATGAAGAAGCTATTATTTCTACCTTCCTGATGAGAAGGATAAGAACTACAGAGTTCAAATTCAGTTTAAAATAATTTAAGGGTAAGCCATTCTCCATTTTATAGGTGATGGCTATATTAAGAGATAAAACATGGGGGGGAAAAGCGAGAGGAGGAAAAAACCTCTCTCTGTAGCAAAAACAATTCAATAAATGGCTTTGGCTTTATTCAACCTTTGTCCTCCAAGAAACTGGCTCCTCAAGAATCAAAACATGTATCTCAAAAAAATATATATACAAACGCCATCCTAACAAGTTATAACTCTCTTTGTTCTTCAGTAAACAAATATAAAATGTCTTCACTAAAATAAGCAAACATAGATTCAATGTTTCCACTGCAAAAACAAACTTTTAGTCCTATTTCAGAACCAAAGAATCCTATTTAGTCCTATTAATACTAAGTAATTGTATTATTTCAGTGAAATAATCTGGCTCATTCTCAAAAACTGCAGAAACTCTTGGGAACTCTAGAGGTTCCTGTAAACTTCAGATGCACTGAAAATAGTATTTCCTCTCTCTAAGGAAAATGAGATTAATATGGCCAGGGCTAATCTGTTCCATGCTGTAATTACTAACATGAAAACTGGGGCCACACACCACATAATTATACCTCAATATCCCTCTGGAAATCAAATAGGTCAATTCGCTGCCAGTTACTGCCATCCAGAGCCAGAACATTCCAGGCCTATTTTAAAGAAAAAGAGACAGAATGAGCAGAAGCTAAAATTAAGGGGAAAAGGCAGCAATATTCAAGTTCACAATTCAACCAACTAATGACTAAAATGGATCCAAAAATTTATCAGGCCCTACCCACTTACTCCCAAATGATGTATCTTACTCCTGACCCATACTGTGTTCTCCAATTAGATAATCTCATAAATGAGTGGGTACTAGAAACTAGCAGCTACAAAAGATCTTAGGCCAGGCATGGTAACTCAAATTTATACTCCCATCACATTGGGAGATCAAGGTGGAAGGATCACTTGAGCCCAGGAGTTCCAGACCAGCCTGGGCAATATAGCGAGACCCGATCCCTATAAAAAAAATTTAAAAAGTCGGCCAGGCGTGGTGGCTCACGTCTGTAATCCCAGCACTTTGGGAGGCCGAGGTGGGCAGGTCACCTGAGGTCAAGAGTTTGAGACCAGCCTGGCCAACATGGTGGAACCCCATCTCTACTAAAAGTACAAAAATTTGCCGGGTGTGGTGGCATGTGCCTATAATCTCAGCTACTCAGGAGGCCAAGGCAGGAGAATCACTTGAACCTGGGAGGCGGAGGTTGCACTGAGCCAAGATTGTGCTACTGTATTCCAGCCTGGGCAACAGAGCGAAACATCTTGGAGGGGGGGGGAATTAAAAAATTAGTCAGACGTAGTGGCACACACCTGCAGTCCCAGCTACTCGGGAGGCTGAGGTGGGAGGATCGCGTGAGCCTGGGAGGTAAGGGCTGCAGTGAGCCATGATCTCACCATTGTACTCCAGCCTGGGTGACAGAGCAAGACCTTGGCAAAAAACAAAAACAAGACTAACCCTCCCTCCCCCTGCCCACACACACTGAAATTAGAGAAGTTAAGGAAAGGGCAGGTTGTGATAAGTATCATGCCGCAAGGTGTTTTCTAACTGGAAAATTCTAGTTTCTAATACCAAAATGAGACAAAAGTTCGGTTGATGAAAAGCAAGTCTTTCTTCTATCCTTAAAAATATGATCCTTAAAAAAAATATCCTTCTATCTGGAAAAATATGAAGGTAAAACCAAACATCAAAGGGGACAGTACTCTGAATACTGCTCTATTCTCACTCTCTTTTTCTATATATAGAGTATATATAGAGATAAATATATGTATTTCTTGAGACAGGTTATCACTTGGTCACCTGGGATGGAGTGCAGTGGCTCAATCATGGGTCACTTGCAGCCTTGACCTCCCCAACTCAAGTAATCCTCTCACCTCAGCCTCCCAAGTAGCTGCAACCACAGGCATGCATCACCACACCTGGCTTTTTTTTTTTTTTTGAGACGGAGTCTCGCTCTGTCGCCCAGGCTGGAGTGCAGTGGTGCAATCTTGGCTCACTGCAAGCTCCGCCTCCTGGGTTCACATCATTCTCCTGTCTCAGCCTCCCAAGTAGCTGGGACTATAGGCACACGCCTCCAGCCTGGCTAATTTTTTGTATTTTTAGTAGAGATGGGGTTTCACTGTGTTAGGCAGGATGGTCTTGATCTCCCGACCTCGTGATCCGCACGCCTCGGCCTTCCAAAGTGCTGGTATTACAGGCGTGAGCCACTGCACCCAGTCTTAATTTTTAAAATTTTCTGTAGAGATAGGGCTCCCTATGTTGCCCAGGCTAGTCTTGAACTCCTGGCCTCAAGCAATCCTCCCATCTTGGCCCCTCAAAGTGAAGGGATTATAGGTGTGAGCCACCAGGCCTGGCCTTAGTTCAGTACTTCTTTGCTATCTATATCCTATCACCTGGTAGGACTTACAACTGTGATACAGTGATTTGGGACTTAGAAAAGATACTATCATTTCTCTGAAACTTTGTATTTTATTATTTTTTTTGAGACAGAGTCTCGCTCTGTTGCCCAGGCTGGAGTGCAGTGGCACAATCTCGGCTCACTCCAAGCTCCGATTCTGCATTAACTGAATCTTACTAAACAGAATTACTGGTGAAGCAAATTTATCCATCGAGACTATCTGGTATGTGTTATGTATGTATTCTGTTGGTGCTGGAAGATGTCTGTGTGCCTATCAACATGCGACTTCATGTAAAATTTCTTCATGTTCACAGTTCTTAGCAAATGCAGTTTCAATCCATAGACAGCCAGCAATGGATGTTACTACAGGAAAATGCAGGATTAAAATTGTCCTTGTGTAGGCCAGGCGCTGTGGCTCACACCTGTAATCCCAGCACTTTGGGAGGCTGAGGTGGGCAGATCACGACGTCAGGAGATTGAGACCATCTTGGCTAACACGGTGAAACCCTGTCTCTACTAAAAATACAAAAAATTAGCCGGGTGTGGTGGTGGGTGCCTGTAGTCCCAGCTGCATGGGAGGCTGAGGCAGGAGAATGGCATGAACCTGGGAGGTGGAGCTTGCAGTGAGCCAAGATTGCACCAAGGAAAATGCAGATTAAAATTGTCCTTGTGTAGGCCAGCGCCTGTGGCTCACACCTGTAATCCCAGCACTTTGGGAGGCTGAGGTGGGTGCAGATCACGACGCCAGGAGATTTAGAATTCTGCATAATACAAACCCTGTCTCTACTAAAAATACAAAAAATTAGCCGGGTGTGGTGGTGGGTGCCTGTAGTCCCAGCTGCATGGGAGGCTGAGGAGAAATGGCAAGGAACCTGGGAGGTGGAGCTTGCAGTGAGCCAAGATTGCACCATTGCACTCCAGGATGAGCGAGAGAGAGACTCCCACCTCAAAAAAAAAAAAAAAAAAACTGTCCTTGTGTAAAAAAAATAAATAAATAAATAAATAAATGAACTCGGGAAACATAATAAAACAAGATTTCATCACAATTTTGAGTCAAGTCTAAACTTTCAATATGCATGTTTATTGCTTTTTCATCGAAAATGTTTCCTGTTTATATTATGCAAATAAGAGATACAAAAAGTCAGAGACAGTATATATAGTAGAATCCCATCATAAATTTACATGGGCTTGCGTATGTCATTGGTGAAATAATATCCTTTAAAACATGAAAACATACAAGTAACACCTAAATAGGTGGCCTATGAAAGACACTGTTATTATCAGTACGAAGAAGGGGTCCCCGTATAACTATGTCAACCATACTTACCCTGGAGACCTGAGCACAGCGGCACAGGGTAACAACATCTAGAAAAGAAAATATCCTAAAAAGAAAAGAGAGAAAGACAACTTTTATTGTATGATAAAGTAGTTGACCTTTATTTATTTTGAGACAGGGTCTCACTCTGTCAGCCAGGCTGGAGAGCAGTGGCATAACCACTGCTCACTCCAGCCTCGACTTCCTGGGGTCAGGTGATCTTCCCATGTCAGGCTCCTGAGTAGCTAGGACTACAGGCGCCTGCCACCATACCTGGCTAATTTTTAATTTTTTGTAGAGACGGGGTTTCACCATGTTGCCCAGGTTGGTCTCGAACTCTTGGGCTCAAGCAATCAGCTTCCCAAATTGCAAGGATTACAGGTATGAACTACTGCATCCGGCCAGTATCATAAAGTAGTTGCTCTTGATTTTAGCACAGAAATAACTGACTACATGTATATACACACACAAACACAAAGGCAGTTCTTTAGAACACACACACAAAATGCTTGAGCAATCTGTGAAGATAATACTGCCCATATAAAACACAGTGGGAAAAAATGTTTTACTTGATAATGTACATACAGATGCTGACCAAGTTCAATTACCTACACCAAAGGATAATAAATAATTTCTAGCTGGTTTTTTTAAAATACAAAAAAAAAAAAAAAAACAAACACTTCCCACCTAAAATTATCAAAAGAAAGAAGCTAGGGGAAGGATCTTTTTTTTGTTTTGTCTTGTTTTGAGACAGGGTTTCACTCTGTCACGCAGGCTGGAATGCAGTGGCACAATCACAGCTCACTGCAGCCTTGACCTGGGCCCAAGCAATCCTCCCACCTCAGCCTCCTGAGTAGCTGGAACAAGAGGCACACACCACCAAGTCTAGGTAATTTTTAAAATTTTTTTGTAGAGATGAGGGTCTCCCTATGTTGCGCAGACTGGTTTTGAACTCCTGAGCTCAAGCAATCCTCCTGCCTCAGACTACCAAAGTGCTAGGATTGTATGTATGAGCTACCATGCTTGGATGGGCAGGATATTTTTGTTTGAAACAAGGTCTCACTCCTGTCGCCCAGGTTGGAATGCAGTGGTGCAGTCATCATTCACTCCAGCCTCAATCCCCCCAGGCTCAGGTGATTCTCCCACCTCGCCTCCCAAATAGCTGGGAGTACAGGCGCATGCCACCATGCTCAGCTAATTTTTGTTGTTGTTGTCGTTCTTTTTTGTTTTTTTTGTGTTTTTTTTTGTTTTGTTTTGTTTTTTGAGACAGAGTCTCACCTGGTTGTCCAGGCTGGAGTGCAGTGGCATGATCTCGGTTCAAGTGATTGTCGTGCCTCAGCCTACCAACTAGCTGGGATTACAGGTGCCTGCCACCACGCCCGGCTAATTTTTGTATTTTTAGTAGAGATGGGGCTTCACCATGTTGGGCAGGCTGGTCTCAAACTCCTGATGTCAGGTGATCCGCCCTATCTCAGCCTCCCAAAGTGCTGGGATTACAGGCGAGAGCCACCATACCCAGCCCCTGATGGGAGGGATCTTAATGAAGTATTTTACAGTCATGAAGGAAAAAAGATAATTTAATAAAGCCTAAAAAGCAGCAATGAAAAATGTTAAATGTCTAGAAAAAAAAGAAACCCAGAAACAAAATAAAATATAAATTAAAAAAAGATCTCTACATATTTCATTCTAATTTAATAAATTACAAAACTCTTAACACAGCAATGTTAGAAAATATTTACTGTCTAGAATTTTTCTCAGTCTTATAGAAGGTAAATAAATACTTATTTTGAAGTAGACCAGTAAGTTAATTTGCTTAAAGCCTGATAAACCACACCATAAGCTACCTGTGAAAATAGGTCAGGGAATCCTGGAAATAAAAGTGAATGGGAGATCAGGCAAGGTGGCTCATGCCTATAATCCCACCTCTTTGGAAAACTGCTAGAGGCCAGGAGTTCAAGACCAGCCTGGGCAACACAGTGAGGCTCCCTGTTTTAAAAAAGAAAATAAAAAACATAGCTTTGGCTAGGCATGATGGCTAAAGCCTGTAATTCCACCATTTTGAGATGCAAGGGCAGGAGGATAACTTGAGGCCAAGAGTTTGAGACCAGCCTGGAAAATACAGTGAGACTCTGTCTCTACAAAAATTTTAAAAATTAAGCTGGGAACAGTGGCTCACAGCTGTAATCCCAGCACTTTGGGAGGCTGAGGTGGGTGGGTCATCTGAGGTCAGGAGTTCAAGACCAGCCTGACCAACATGGTGAAACTCCGTCTCTACTAAAAATACAAAATTAGCCACACGTGGTAGTGGGAGAGTCTGTAATCCCAGCTACTCGGGAGGCTGAGACAGAAGATTCACTTGAACCTGGGACATGGAGGTTGCAGTGAGCTGAGATCATGCCCTTGTACTCCAGCCTGGGAGACAAGAGTGAGACTCTGTCTCAAAAAACAAAGTAGCCAGGCATGCTGGTATATGCCTGTAGTTCCAGCTACTTAGGAAACTGATGCAGGAGGATCCATTGTGTTCAGTTTGAGGCTGCAATAAGCTACAATCACAGCACTGCACTCCAGCCTGGGTGACAGAGTGAGTTCTTTTTTCTTTTTTTTAAGATGGAGTTTCGCTCTGTCACCCAGGCTGGAGTGCAGTGGCACAATCTCGGCTCACTGCAACCTCAGCCTCCTGGGTTCACACGATTTGCCTGCCTTAGCCTCCAGAGCAGCTGGGATTACAGGCACCTCACTAACACACACCCAGCTTTAAAACAAAAGTTTTAAATTTTGATGTTATCCACTTTATCTATTTTTTCTTTCGTTTCCTCAACTTTTGGTGTCAAATCCAATAAATCACTGTTAAACTCAATGTCATGAAGTTGTTCTGCTTTCTTCCAAAGATTTTATAATTTTAGTTCTCAGATACAGGTCTTTGCAAGACCATTTATTGAAAAGACTATACTTTTCCCCACTGAATGGTCCTGGCATCTTTGTCAAAAATCATTTGACCATATATGCGAAGGTTTATTTCTGAGCTCTCTATTTTATTCCATTGGTCTTTGTCCGCTTTATGCCAGTATCACACTATTTTTAAATATTTTCAGTTTTGAAGCAGAAAGTGCTTTTGGTGATTGAAATATTTGCATGATGTCAGAAAAACTATTAATAGCAACTGAACTGGTTTCAAGAATCTTTCCTTATGTTTTCTTACACATTTACTTCCTCTAACAGATTTCTGATATTTTGATTTCTCTCCAACTATAGAGGCCCATGTAAGGGACTATTTAAAACAGATAATAAGTTAAATAAGCTGGAAGGGTTAAGCAAGGAGCAACATGGAAAGCAAATATAACTGACCTATATCCTGCAATCTCAGCAAGACACCAGCAAGGGACAGGAAAACCCCTGAATAAAAGCCCAGAGAACAATTATAGTGAATAATGTCTAGAGAATCTGCCTTCTCTAAGGAGAACCTGATACATGGATAGAAAGGGGGGAAACATCTAGTTAAAATGATGAGCAATCTCTGAAACTGTGGTTATAATTTTTCAGCTTGCCTGAAATGAAAGAAAAGCATCTGATTTGGAGGTTGTTGAGTTTCATTCAAAAAACATTTTTACCACCTGCCACCTACAGGCACTTAAGTCCCTACTGTTAAGTAGCTCATGGCATAGGGGCTGGAGGTAGATATAAAATAAGTAAAATATATGTGAAAATTTCAATTAGCGATGAGTACTATAACAAAGCTGAGTAATGTAATAGAAGAGTGGTCAAGGAAAGCCTCCCCTAGGAGTAGGTATTTGATTTAGAATCTAAATGATCAAAGGAAAACAGATTGCCAAGATCTGGGGAGAAGAGCATTCCAGTAGACGAAATAGTAGGTGTATGACAAAGGCCTGCTTGAAGATCAGAAGAGACAGTGAAGTTGGACTGCAGCAGCAGCACAACCCTATACTGAGTTCTTAATTATGTACCAGGCGTCATTCTAAGTGCGTAAATTTACATACTAATCCAATGACTCCTTAAAAAACAATTCTATAAGATCGGTACTATTAGCATTCTCATCTTATAGATGAGGATATTGAGCAAAGTTGTTAGTCAAGGGTCAAAATATGATTTAAAAAAAAAAAAAAAAAAAGACTGGGCGCGGTGGCTCACACTTGTAATCCCCAGCACTTTGGGAGGCCAAGGTGGGTGGATCACCTGAGGTCAGGAGTCTAAAGACTAGCCTGGCCAACATGGTGAAACTCCATCTCTACTAATTACAAAAATTAGCCAGGCATGGTGGTGTGTGCCTGTAATCCTAGCTACTTGGGAGGCTGAGGCAGGAGAATCGTTAGAACCTGGAAGGCAAAAGTTGCAGTGGGCTGAGACTGCTCCACTGCCCTCCAACCTGAGTGACAGAGTAAGACACCATTAAAAAAAAAAAAAAAGGTTAAAAGGCTTTGTGGACATAATAAATGATTTCAACTGTATTCTAAGTTTAGGGAAAGCCTAGGCCAGGCATGTGGCTCATGCCTATATATAATCCTAGCACTCTGGGAGGCCAAGGCAGGAGGATCACTTGAGGTCAAAAGTTTGATCTTTTTTTTTTTTTTTTCTTTTTTGTAAAGACAGGGTTTTACAATGTTGCCCAGGCTGGTCTCGCCAAAGTGCAGGCATTACAGGCGTGTGTCACCACACCTGGCCCATGGCCAGGAGTTTGAGGCCAGTATGGGCAACACAGTGAGACCCTGACTCTGTAAAAATGAAAAAATTTAGCTGAGGATTGTGGTGCATGCCTGTAGTCCTAGCTATCCAGGGGACTAAGACAGGAGGATCACTTGAGCTCAGGAGTTAATGGTTGCAGGGAACTGTGATCACCCCACTATGCTTTGGCCTGGGCAACAGACTCTGTCTCTTAAAAAAAGAAAAAGCCTGGGCAACAGACTCTGTCTCTTAAAAAAAGAAAAAAGAAAAAAAAAAAAGATAGGTTTCTATTGGAAGGGTGGGATATAAAACATTTTTAAAAAATTTAATACAATAAATTTTTTTTTAAAAGGTAGAGAGGAATATACCCATTCATACAAGTATTATAGG